CGGCGTCAGTGAAGATTGTGTTTTTTATCTCTAACAATAGTAAAACGTCAATACTGTGTAGTATCTTGGGTTATTTAATGGGAGAATGAAGAGTCACATGGTCTGTCTGGCTGGCTGTTTATTCTCTGTTCTTGGTTACAACGTGCCTAACACATTTCGTAAGAAGTAACATAATATATAATATATACATTCAATAAATGCAGCATATAAACATACATATATATAACATACTGTACAGTATATCTATCTAAAAAAAAATTCCCACAAAACTTTCCTAGCTCGCGCCAAGTTGACAAAGCGCACTGATGACGTCTTCACTTTAACCAATCATTATCCTTCCGTATAACGTGTCAAGAGATGATCTACCAGTCAGCAGCTTTTCCTCTGGTAATGGCACACAGGAAACCAATCAGACCGCTTTACAAATACTACTCTGGCAGGCACAATCTTACTAAGTGATTTGATATCGAGAACTGTATCACTATACTAAACTTTGTATCACCACACCATCAAGTCATCGTACGTTCTACAAAACATCAAGCTATCCTAGTAACCTCACATAACGCCATCTTAACAACATACTTCACCTAGGGTGGCCATTTACAAATTTCCAAAAAGGAGGAATTTTTTTTATTTTTACGACACATTTTTAACCTATATTAAACATGTTTAAAAAGTTGAAATATAAAAAGATGTATAAAATATACAAAATATACTTAGAAGAATTGATTTGTCAAATATCACTAATGTAATGAAGGCTATTTTGTGGATTTTCTAAAATTAATTTTTTTTAAACGCACTGTACAGTATATGTCACATATACATGATACATGCATTCATACAGTATAAATAAAGAACTAAAAGAAATGAATATTCATTTTTACTCCTGCTGGAACAACATACTGTATGCTAACCAAATTAACTTACTTCACAAACTAAAGGAAATAGCCTATTTACCAATGTGGCCTTCAGTTCCCAATGTTTTAGTATACGCAAGGTAATTTATATAATTCTTTTTAGACAGGCCCAAAAGAGAAGGACAAATTAACATCCTGCTTGAGGTGGCGTAGGACGGAGGACAGTGCTCAAAAGCAGGACTGTCCTGCCTAAAGCAGGACGTCTGGCCAGCCTAATCACATCTCCATGCCATCACCACATCATCCCACCACCACTACACAACCCATATCACCAAAACCACACCATCTCATCGAACACATTATACTGTCACCACCACACTACCCCCACTATCGTCACCACAACTCACTACACCATCATCTGGAAGTGACGAAGTCATCATTATGTTGGGAATATTAGCCCCCCCCCCCCAACCAACTATTATTAGCATTATTATTCTCCGAAATTACTTTACAACTATGGACGACAACGATGATATCTGTAGCTTCTCGTTATTTAATCCTCTTACCCACGGCTGTGTGTGTTGTTCACCAGTAAAGGGAAAAGTTTTACAAACTGGTTGAGGTGTGTCATTTCTGTCACCCGTCACCTGACGCAGCATCAAACATACAACTCCATCAATAGTCCCTTCCCCTTTACAGAATCCATTTCGTGTTTCTGCTCTAAAATAATATGAAGACTGTAATTCCCATGTCTCCATCCAATGCGATCATAACTCTGCCCCACTGGCAAGGCAATGAAAACAGCATGCTTAACGGAGTGAAAAACAAATTAGCTGATGTAGGGGGTATTAAAATAGTAACAATGTGCCAAAAGATATATGTAATGAATTGACTGACGGAAAAAACGCGGTAATGAAATGACTGACGAAAAACCGCGGTAAAGTACAGTAGGTAAACAACCAACCATCTAGTGTTAGCTTTAGGACGGTGTAAATAATGCGCCAAAGTATGTAAACAAGAAAACGGGAATTTCGAGGAAAATATTCACCCGGCCGAGCTAACCGAAAGAGGATTTAGATTTTTCAAAGAAACTTGAGCGTGAATGTTTTTTTGTTTTTGTTTTTTTTTAATCCAGGTGAGTTTCTACATGTGTACGTTGCCGTGAGTGTACCGGAAGAAGTGAGGATAGGAGAGGAGGGTGATGACGGCACGCCCTCTATATACGAACAGCGTAGATTGTGGGCCAAGGTGAAAACCACCCACACGCTGGCTGTATGGCGGTGCTCGACCCCATCTCTCATTCTCCACCTCAAATAAATACCACTAATAATCAACAAAAATACACAAAACTTTGTACTTCTAAGAATACCGTAAGCAAGTGGCTTCAAATTTAAACACGATAATTTATACATTTAACATCTTAGCAGAAAAATACACAAATTATATAAGAATATGTTATTTAAAATAAATATATACAATTTAATTAAGTCGTTTGTCTTAAAAGAAAACCATTCACTAAAAATTATTTCTTGCCTTACCACCAACACCAGCTCCTAACTTAAGAGCACTTAAAAAAAGCTGTCATTTGAACTAAAACAAACTGTTAGGACATTTCATAATTTTCGGTCTTTACAAAATTCACAGAAGCCTATTTCCCTTGTTCTCCCATTATATATTACCAGGTTAATCGCAAAAACATAAATAAATCTTAATATATTACCATGAGATAAAAACTACACTGTGTAGTTAAGACAACCCGAAAACGTTTGGGGTAAAGAGATAAGGTCGCCAAACCTCGGATGCAGGGATATTACTCGAATCTATTAGGGGAGATAGTCTACTAACCACGTGTGTACGGGGGTCCCTTCTGTGCTGCTCATTTAGTAGCTCAAAAAATGTCTCGTGTTGTTATCAAGCCAACCATCTTCCCAGTAAAATCTTATATTAAGGGCCCTCCTGGATATAAGTATCTGACTGCTCTGTCGGCTATTCTTTGTCAAATTCCCTGACTGTTTATCATTGTTGCTTACCTCCACTGTCTCGACACCATGAAGGTTGTTACACCTCCATACTCGACAGAGGAAACTCTACTCCCACGGCCTACGTACACAGCATACCGACATTGTCCATGCTGAACAGCCTGAACTGTATAATTGCATACTACTGTATTTCATAAACATGTTTATCCAATTGTAAACCTTTATAACAATTTTACTAAATAAATATATCATTATTATTTTTATTATTATTATTATTATCTATGTTTTAGAAAGTAATGCATGAAAAGAACTATGCTTTGACACAGTATTAGCCAATATTAGCTTTCTAGAATGTGGCGGGTTGCTGAGCCTCCACAAAGAAGCTTGAGCTTGTCATCACATGCTGCCTCATAGAAAACGATCTCGTATAACATTTAACAGAAAATGGAGTTTACTCACTCTAATGTAGAGGATACACTATACAAATCCACTCCAGCCAATTCGATGTCATTCAAGGTACAAATATATAAAACCATTTCCTTCTGGGATTACTAATTTTCATCTACAGTATTACAAGCACCGTCAACCCTCTCATTTGTGTGTGGGGTGAATCGACGGTGCACAAAAACCACAAGAAAAGGGATGTGTATAGAAAAAACAGGTTAAGGGCTTAAAGTAGGAATACAGTACAGTATACTTCCTCATAACCTGATGGAACTACATTTACCTTCTGTATGCATCTTAAACAGATCATGTTACTTAATGCTTGTAATGTACCTGCGTTAGTACAGTATAAACAAACTTTAGATAGGGAGACATAGTAAGTAACTTACTTTTTCTAGGTGTTTTAAATATTTTATTAAAATGCCATAATTAAGTACTGTAGTGTATTCATATTTTTTAATCTGAAGTGTCCCTTGTATTTAACTTTCCTACTCACGCTGTTATAAAATGAATGTAAAATTAGGAATTTTCATATCACAGTGTACTGTACTATATTTAGAATCTTACCTTGCTTATAAATTTCACCTGTGTAAAACTAGTCAATGAATATGAATAAAAAGAATAAGAGGTCCACGAGCCTATATGTGAATTAAGGCTCGTCTGAATTAAGGTAATACCCCCCTGTTCATTTTATTTCATACTTTTTATTTCCTGATTTTAGCTTTGTATGTAGGTCTCTCGTCATTTTTGTCGGTTTTGAAGTGGATTGCTCTTTTTTAAATTTTTGAAGTTTATCGAAGGTAAATTTAAGCATAATATTTTGTTTCTATTGTATATCACCTGTATTTTTAAACTTTTTCAAATATTTTTTGGGCTCTGATGATGGAAAAGGATTATTTCCGAAACGTAAGCAATTAAAAGAAGTCCTACTTCAAGATTGTCATGGTTTTGGTATGAATCCGTGGTAGTAGGAGTAGGAGTGGATTATATTATATAAAGATAATATTATGTCGTATTTCTTATTTCTTACCGTAGAATTCGATACCTTCACACTGGTTACTTACAGGAGATTATGGCGTATCTACGTAGAAGTTCACTCCACCACTCGACATTCCATGATTTATACTTGATAAATGATGAATTAATGAATTCATTTAATTTTCAACATCCATCTAAGTTATTGGTTATACTATGTCATAACCAATCAGTCATTACCTTTAGTAATAATAAGATAGGATCACAGATACGGGCAGATAATTGCACTTACATTTATTTGTCAAGCTTCCATACAATGATTTACAATTTGCATGGATATATGATTTACTCACGTTCACGCTGTAATAAAATTAATCTTCTAAAACAGGGAATTTCCAACTTGGGGACACATGTGATTACTCTACTGTGGTATGACTTAATAGAGCTTTAATTCTTCAAGTGATACATTTACTGCCAGCCTGGATTGCTTTTGTTGCAACCAGGCTTCATCACAAGAACTTCTTCCCACGGCCATAACAACAAAAAGGTACTCTTGGGTTACCACACATAGTCTCGCGTCACTGACAGTCACTGGACGGTTGTCGCGGCAAGTAGAACTGGTAAGCGTGACTTGAATTAACCATTAGGTGCAATAGACCAGCCTGGATTGCTTTTGTCGCAACCAGGCTTCCACACGTGATATTTCCACGGGGATAACAAACCTAGGTTAACACACTTAGTCTCGTGTCGATCACGGTCACGGTAGACGGGTGTCGTGCAGGAGAACTCTGTAAGCGTGAAATAATTAACCATTTACTGTAGGTTTGATAGGCCAGCCTGGATTGCTCTTGTCGCAACCAGGCATCCACACGTGATATTTCCACGGGGATAACAACCTAGGTTAACACGCTTAGTCTCGTGTCGACGACGGTTCACAGGACGGAGTGGCGGTGGAGGACTCTGTGTGGTGTGGTGTCCCGCCCCCTTTCAGGAGGGAGAGGATGGAGACGACGTCTTAACTAACCCATGGCTCAGGGGATACTACTCAAAATGAGGTTTTTGGGTGTGAAGCGATGAACAGTACAACACTGTTTCACTGCCCACCCCCCTAAAGGCTGGCTAACATACACTAATTGAAAAATACATGTCCCAGTTATGCCTCGCCGGGCGTCTTATCTCTGGTAAAACAAACTTTGGAGTTGGTTGCGTGGGTAAGCCTAACGCAACCCATGACAAAGATGTTTGTGTTTAACCTGGTTCTCCTCTTCATTATAAAACTACGTTTTCCGCGTAACAAGTCCATTGCTTGGGAACTTCGTGTTTTTCTTTCCTTGTGGTTATCAGCATATACCTAGATCCCTAGATCACGCGCACCTACAGATATTATATATATATATATATATATATATATATATATATATATATATATATATATATATATATGAGAGTACAGGGAAGCCTCGGATAACAACGGTTCGATCAACAACATTTCGTATTTGAAACCCGAGATAATTTAGGACCCAATTCAGTTTACATCCTTATTTCATTCGTACTTCCGACCAAAATATAATAAAAATATAATAAAATTACATTTTCATATAAATAACTAAATGGTGATATGTATTATAAAAAAAAATTACTGTAAAAAATTTAAGCCCTAAAACCGATTACTGTATTGGCGGACTAATACTACAGCTGGTGGACCGCCAAATGCAAGCGAAAACATGTTGAAGTCGGCTCGTAAAAAACTCGTTAATCGAGGGATTGCTCGTTAACCGAAGTTAAGAATCTTATGGAAGGTAAATCGTTAACCGAAATCTCGTTAACCGAGGGATCACTGTACAGTGCAGAAATTATTATGAAACATGAAGAAGGCATTAGAACCAATGCACTCTGTAAAGAACATGACATGTCATTTTATCGACTGCCTCTACAATCAGCTGTTTGATATGTAAACAAAGCTGCCGGGAATACGGCATACACACATCAAAGTAAGTTCAAATATAGTATTCTATTGTTTTTTATTTATAATTATACAGTATACTGTGCAATACAGTATACTGTATTTAGTTTATATTTAATGTTTTGTTAATTCTATTACTAGTATACAGTACTTTGTATGTACTTTTTCTGTGAGTTGGAACCAATTACCCAATATCCCATTGAAATTATAGATTCAGTTAACAAACGACTCTGTGGAACCAATTGTGTTCGTTAATCGAGGGACCACTGTACTGAGCTAGGCATCCTTTAATAGTTAGGCAAATTTTTCTCTGTCCATTTTTATTTAATTCCAGTAATCATATAAGGTTCTTTTCATTCATTCAGTCAGTGTGAGTGAGCGAGTGTGTGTGTGTGTGTGTGTGTGTGTGTGTGTGTGTGTGTGTGTGAACCTGACATGGGAACTGGATATTAAAGGATTTGGGACTGTTTGTATGAGAAACAATCATCAATACATTAAAAAACCTTGCTAAATATTTTTCTACTTAACCGATTAATATGTGAGCATACACTGCTTCACTGCTAGCAGTTAGGACAGGTTCCCAAACATTTTACACAGAGACCCCTTCTATTGTACAACTGTCGCTTATCCAATGTGACCCCAAGTCATTACAAATACTGTACTGTATACTCATATATGAGGATTTTTAGAATAAATACGGTCATATTTTCATACGCATTTAACTGTTAAAATAAGTAAGGGAAATGTATTACTGTATATAACTGAAAAGTGTAAAAGTAAACACTGGCAGAAACAGGTTATAAATCTATCATGTTCATATCATCATTTAAGTTTCTTTATCTGTGGGTATAATTATGTGGTTAAGCAACATAATATACAATTTTTTAAGTTAAAACTCTGTCATATGCTACAATTGTGTCATTTTTCATATCTGACATGTGTAGGTCATCTTTTGATTAATTTTCTATACCTGGGGGTATATGAGATTATGCAACATACAGTAGCATACAATTTTCTAAGTTCTGGTTTGATATACAGTTACAGTACTCATTTTTTATAAACACCATTGACAAGATGACTGCCTCACAGACTTAGGTGGTTCTAAATTATACCAGGACCTTGATAGCTCAATTTTTAACAGCTGAATGTCTTTGATAAAGTACAGGTTGTACCTCTCTAGTCCGGCATTCTGTGGTCCGGAAACTCCCGTGGTCAGGAACGATTTTAGTTTGCCCAGGGAGAAAATTAATTTGAGTCTGGTACTTTCGATGTTTGGCTAAATTTAGCCTTATTTACCCTAATAAACCAACGAAAATAACACAGATAAAGTTAAATAAAAACTAAAAACAACACAGAAAAGTTCTTGTGTTCTACAGCTTCAGCTAGAGTTGAACCTGATGACTTGGCAACTTCGTCATCCGAGTAAAAACACACAACAACATTGGCTGTCCTTATGTTTTCAACTTTACCACCACTGGTGGGTAGAATTTTTGTTTTAAATTCAGAAGCATTAATTAAAATATATATATGAACAGTAAATAAGTGTTGCTTTCATATTTTTATGTAGAGTAATGACAATATGTTTTCACATGTGCACACTTACATACGCGATCTCACTTTTTTCTTTACCATTAATGGTTAGCTACTTTTATTGTTCCATTTATTAACATTAAATAACATTACTTAAAACAACCATATTAATTTTACTACAGCTACTACCAGGGTCTTATTTTCTTCAGTTTTATATGTAGAACCAATCAGTCACTGATTTTGTAAAAATTAAAGAAAAACAATGCCGTCTCGTCTCCTCGTGTGTTTTAATATTCCATGTATTATTAATGAATTGTATTGTTCATTTTGCACACAAACATTAATTCAATAAAAAAAATTCAGAAACATTAATTAAAATATATATGAACAGTAAATTAGTGTTGCTTTCATATTCTTATGTAGAGTAATGACGATATGTTTTCACACGTGCGCACTTGCATACGCGCAGTCTCACTTTTTTCTTTACCACTAATGGTTAGCTACTTTTATTGTTCCATTTATTAACATTAAATAACATTACTTAAAACAACCATATTAATTTTTTACATTAATTTTACTACAGCTACAACCAGGGTCTTATTTTCTTCAGTTTTATATGTAGAACCAGTCAGTCACTGGTTTTGTAAACAACGAAAACAATGCTGTCTCGTCTCCTCGTGTGTTTTAATATTCTACGTATTATTAATGAATTGTATTGTTCATTTTGCACACACAAACATTAATTCAATCAAAAAGACATTCAGTAATAAACAATAATGAATCTTTTGTACATAGAAAAATGACGCTGTTTACACAATTGTGCACGTCTCAATGTTGGGGGGCCGCTCAAACCCGTCGAAATTCAAGTTTCCGCCGTCGAAATTTAAAATTGTGTAGTTTTTATATTTTTGCCCAAATAAAAAATGTTGAATTAAAAACTCGCGAAATTTGAGAACCTACTGTACAACTTTTAACCCTTCAATATGTCTTCAAAGAGACCATGAAACAGTGAAAGAGGTGCTAGTGCTTCCAAGTGTATGCACAAGTCACTATCTGTCCACGAAAAGGGTGAATTTCCATGGTCCGGCACCAGTCAGGTCCCAAGGTTGCCGGAATAGAGAGGTACAACCTGTAATCCTAAAAACTGGTATGTCATCATAAACATCAAAATTCACCCTTGCCTCGTTGTCAACCTCTAATATTGCCAAACTGTTTTACATACCTTGAACGGAAACTGAACAAAATCACAAGACTACGTAAGCTACTCAAGGAATCTGTCACTGAAATTTGCTGCCATTTTCTGTCCACATCTGTGGGAAGTAGAGAGTGAACTGAGCTGAGAACAGTTCAAAGGTAGGAGCGTGAAACTTCTGATTTGAAATATGTCATCATGGCAATCCAGATTTTCCTATTGACATTCAAAAAATAGTTTTTAAGTCCTCTGACTTTGGAATAGCTTTTGCAATAGACTAATTGCTGCCATCTCGTGGTGGCGAGTGAAAACAACTGCTGACTCCACCTCCCATCTATGCATTAGTGATTCATGATTCATATGTTTTCTTTACTATTCAGGAAAGTTAATGATGTTTTATTGACATCATATGCTGTGAAAGAGAGTACCGTATTGCATATTACGACGAATAAATAAAGGCATGAAATCTTAACACAATATACAGTACTACTGTACATTGTTTCTGTGATATCTATGAAGATTGCTTTTGGTAATGCCACCAACTGTGGTCGGTAAGTGAACCTTGAACTTCATCCCTTTAAATCTGATTTTATAGTACAGTAGAAGTCCAAAAATCCGGACTGCTTGGGGATTGGGTAGGTCCGGATTTTCGGATTTTCCGGATTCTCAGGCAGTACTTTTAAAACTAAAATTTAAGGAGGAATAAAGATGAGATGAACAGGTACATTTTGATAGTTTATTCATTAGCAAATAAAGCATACTTCATTTATCAAAACGAGCAGTTTTAAAGAAACAAAGTCAACACTAGACAAAAATGTAAACAAACTGTCTAATACCATGACGAGTCTTGAAATTCCTAAGCCATCCATCACTAAATGCGCACTCTGATTCGATGTTCATTTGCTCCTTAAAAGACTTTGCTTTGGCAATAAGCATCGGCCCAGAAATTGCCATACCTTTTGATCGTTTTAACAAAAACCATTCGTGCAACACTTTATCAAGATTTTCTTATTTGGGCCAATGTAAACTTTTTCTTTCAGCAATTTTAATGTAAGGCTCAGAAGAAGCTGTGAATTCTAGAATTTTATTCTTTGCCTTTTTTATATCATAAATTGTAGACTTTCCAATGTCATATATTTCCATTAGAACAGCATTGCTCACACCACGTTCTAGTTTCTTAATTATTTCAAGTTTGTCACTCAATTTCAATGTGTTCTTCTTTCTCTTCACACATTAAAGTTTATCTACTTTAGGGGCCATTATTATGGGCCTGTACTCTGTACATGGAAAGAGTAGGACTCAAAATTACATACGTTGTCACAGTTTGATTGCTTGTTTTAAAGTGGCGATCGTGTGGTCGTTTGTTGTCGCTGTGCAGCTGTGGCATTCACTCATGCACACATACACACAAAAGATTTATAGTGCCTCAAATTCTACATTTCAGTTCAAGCTAATTACAAACTAACAAAATTAGCTACCTGTAATTTACAATTACTTATATTATTAGAATTATGTAAATTAATTTTTAAAGCAATTCCATTCATTCAAGTAACCCACAAAAGACCGCTAAATTTAAAAAGTTTGAGTTTTCAAAAAGTCCGGATTCTCGGGTGGTCCGGATTCCTGGCATCCGGATTTTTGGACTTTTACTGTACTGTACTGTATACCAATTTCAGGTGATTCATCATCATGACTGACACAAAAAAGTCATGGACACCGGAGAAACTTGATACCAATTTGGCTTACTGTATGATCCAGATGAACAAGCTCAGAGATGAGGATGATGAGTAATTATTTTTTTAAATTAAAAGGTATTGCTTCTGATGCTACTACAGTATAATGGCTTTTAAGAAATTTTAATAACAGTCGATGTAACTTTGGCCAATTTTTATTAGATAAAATGAAGAAACCAAAAATGTTTTAACCATATCTTTCTCATATTTACTGTTTTCCAACCATCAATTATTGTTTCTAAGGCATACAGCATTAATACAATAGCTCCCCAAAATACGTTGGGGGTTAGGGACCAAAGTTGTGTGACTTAAGTGAAACGATGTTAAGTGAGTAATTGTCCCCCATAGGAATACTGAACTGTATGTGTAAATACGGGGCGTTAGCGACCATAGCCGTGCGTTTACATCACCAACGCGACACAAAGCAGGACAATTTCTTCCATAAGAAATAATGTAATAACAAAGGAATAAGGACTGGATATTTAACCTGTTTTCTTATTGAATAAAAAGAGTATTCGTGATATTAAGTAATAAAACAAACAAAAACACTTTTGTGAAAAAATAAGAACCTAATTTTAACCTGTAAAAGTTCACATTATTATACTGTACATACATGGTAAAACACACAAAAAAATACAGTAGAAGTCCAAAAATCCGGACTGCTTGGAGATTGGGTCAGTCCGGATTTTTGGATTTTCCGGATTCTCAGGCAGTACTTTTAAAATTCAAATTTAAGAAGGAATAAAGAAGAGATGAACAGGTACATTTTGATAGTTTATTCATTAGCAAATATAGCATGCTTCATTTATCAAAACGAGCAGTTTTAAAGAAAAGCTGTGAATTCTAGAATTTTATTCTTTGCCTTTTTTATATCATAAATTGTAGACTTTCCCATGTCGTATGTTTCCATTAGAACAGTATTGCTCACACCACTTTCTAGTTTCTTAATTATTTCAAGTTCTTCTTTCTTTTCACACAACGAAGTTTATCTACTTTAGGAGCCATTATTATGGGCTTGTACAGTACAGTACAGTCGACCCTCGTTAATTCGGACCCCTTTAATCCGGATTTCGGATAATTCGGACGAAATCTGAACTGTCCGTATCGAATTTCTGGTTCTGGGATTGTCCCAGTTGCAATTGGGGTTGCAATTTCAAATTCAGTATCATTTGTAAGGAATAATGAAGTCTTTGGTGCACTCTACGATTAAGAGTAAACGGACGACTCAGGCGTCCTGAAGTTAGAGAAAACGGACTCCTATGACAGGGCACTCAAATAAACATACACATAGCTGTATAATGCAATATTAACCCCTAAATCGGTTAATTCGGACAATCGGCTAAAACGGACACCCTTTTCCCCCTATTAGTCCGAATTAACGAGGGTCGACTGTACTCTGTAAATGGAAAGAGTAGGACTCAAAATTACATAAGTTGTCACAGTTTGATTGCTCGTTTCAAAGTGACGACTGCGGGGTCGCTTGTTGTTGCTGTGCAGCTCACGCATGCATACATGCACACAAAAACCCGCTAAATTAAAAAAAAAAAGTTTTAAAAAAGTCCAGATTCTCGGGTGGTCCGGATTTCTGGCATCCGGATTTTTGGACTTTTACTGTATATAAATGTAGCAGCATAGCAAATGAAAAAAATAATTAAATAAACACATGGATGTTTTTTATTACAAGCAGTTAGGCTGCACACTCAAGTTCGGGGGAGGTATTTTACCTCCCTCTCAGTTTATTTTCCTTACATATTTACTAATATTATTCGCTTATATTGTACTTAGATTACCATGGCAATACACAGTGTAGGATGGAGGAAGAAGTGTGGGAGGGAGGGAGCAGTGTGTGAGGGAGGGAGCAGTGTGTGAGGGAGGGAGCAGTGTGGGAGGGAGGAAGGTATGTGGGAGGGAGGAGTGTGAAAGGAAGGGAGCAGTGCAGGAGGAAGGAAGCAGTGTGAGAGGGAGGGAACAGTGTGGAATGGAGGAAGGGAGCTAGTGTAGGAAGGAGGAAGGAGTTTGGGCAGATGTAATCATGTAGGGGGACTGGGAGTGGAAGTGGAGGGAGTATACTGGATGTTCCTGAAGATGGGGAGGGCAGCAACCCTCTCTCCACCACTTGCCACTAATCATCGTCACTTTCCTCTTGTTCAAACATATAGTACGGGTCACTATCATTATCACCTTCAATATCACTATCAATACATGCCTCTGTCAATACCAAGCTCATCTTCACCTCAACCAAATAATTCAGAGTATATCTCATCCTGATTGAGTGACCAGTTACGTTCATGTGCCATGGCTATCGAGACTGTACTGCGTAGTTCCGTGGCCTTGACTGTGAGGAGAGACTGGAGGGTGGGGGGTTTGCTTAAGGCCGAATGGCTGAAAACGTTTAAACATGATGCCAGACACCACCAGCCAACAATTTCAAAGGCGCTGGAAAAGTATATTCGGAAAACATTCTAGTACAGTATGTGAATGACTAAGAGATAGTAACATCGGTGATCACGTACTTGAACATTAATGACCAGTCACTGGTTAAACCTCATTTTAAAAAGATTTAGCCTAAGCTTATAAAACTGTTTATCTTAACTTGAGGAATGGATGATTTAATCTTGTTTACTACTGTTTATAATGTCCAACTTAATATCTAGTGCAATACTCATACACTTTTCTTCCACTCACCACCCACACTTCACATGTCACTCATTATTGAATGAATTGCAAGGATATATATACAGATATAGTCGATGCCAAATGTGAAGCTCACAGTGCAATACACCACAATGGGACCAAAATTGAAGTTCAGACACTATTCATACTAAATCAGCCGAGTCGGAAACAACACAACGATGTTAGTGCAAGAAAGTCTTGTGTTATGTTCCTTAATTAAGCAACATGTCAATGGAAAACAACGTATAGCACGACAGCACATGTGGAAACTTTTTAGTACAGTATTATCGAGACAAAAAATGTACAATATTTTATAGGGGTAATTTACCATTTAATATATGGTCCCAAATTTGACCCTTATTGAGTTTGGGGTTGTAAAGATGCATCACGGCAAAAGAATTAAGACATCTGAAGTGTAAAATATTTCATGTCAACATCAAGTGCATTAAATCAACATAAACTAATGCAGTACATCAGTACAAAGTCGTGTACAGTGAGAGCACTTCAAGGTAAAATTATCTAAAAAATCAGTAAAGTAACACTCACCCTCTAGTACGTGAAGATCTACTCCGGTGCCTGGAAGAATAACTCTGAGAGTCCTCAAGTCGCCTTCGTCTTCTGTCTCGATCCCGATCCCTGGTGCGGCTGCGACTGCGTTCAGTACTTGAACGATGACGCCGTGAACGAGGCATCTGAGGATAAAACTCACTTGATAACTCTTGTGAAACCTGGCTAGAAAACATTCACAGAACATCTAATGGTCACACTGAGCCAAACAGTTAATAATTTGAAGCACTAGGAACAGTAGAGTACAATACTGTACTTACGTCAGATCAGATAAATGAAATCGACTAATTTATTCAAGTTGTACATTTGTTAAACACTGTAAGGTACAATCCATGAGACACACTCAGGGCAGAGGCCATTTCAAAATGAACCAGTGGCAGATTATACGTATCTAATAAAGATCCAAAATGCAAATTAATAAATAAATATAGGTCAAAGAATCATCCATGTACAGTAATTGCACTTTTTTTTAGAATCACAGCTTAAGAGTACAGTACTAGTACTAATAAAAAAGTACCATATTCTTATATAAAAATTACATACAGTACAGGTGCAGTACTTAGCTTTCAGTCAGTCACTGGGAAGCATTTATCAACAGTTTAAGATTTATTTATAAAAGGAACTACTGTACAGTAATGAAAAACAAAAACATGAGACTTGCAAACCTTCATCACCATTTCTCAAATTTTTTGGAAGTACAGTAATAAAGAAGTTACCCTCTACAAAAAATCTAATATTGCTTGGTTAGGGGGTCCCCGACTAACGAACGCCCACCGATAAGAACGATGTTAAACTTTAAATTTGCAGTATTTTATTTACCTGGTTACTTATTTTTTTTTACTTTCATTTAATGTACTGTATTTTGTCAGTCTATTTCTTCTTTTCTCTTAAATTAAGTGATATTAGATGTATATAAGGACTTAAGCGATGACATTGTTCTGTATGTACGATATGCACATAGCATGTGTTCCAACTTGTGTACATTTCCGACTTAAGAACGTCCTCAGGAGCGGAACCCGTTCGTAACCCGGGGACCCCCCTGTACATTCCAGTTTTAATTTAATTAACTCAAAACCCACACACCACACCTATAATTTATCCAGCATAATGCAAGAAAGAAAATATATTGTTATTTTACTCAAACATCAACCAAACTCCAAGTTAATACTGTTTCCGTGACAAATATTTTATAGAATTTTAATTGTAAGATACAAACTAGACAACCAAATAAAAAAAAAGAGTCTAAGTGTGGTAGATTAGTTTCATTTTGGTTCAGATGGTTTGTGTAACCCTGGCATGACCATAATGCTTTTTATTGGATAATTTATGTAAAGTTTGGTGATTTTTGGTTAGCAAGAGTAGCCAAATATTGAATTGAAACAGTTTATATAACCAGAAAAGCACAGATACAGAGTGGATAATAATAAAAATATTAACATGGCTGAGCCAGTTGAGAACCTGAGCTCTCCTGTAGGCACCTGATATATACTATACATTTATCTCAAGGAAATGTTATGTAACATTTAGTAACATCTGGAATAGTACAATGGCATGGTGGTAATGAGAACATCTCATAATGTTACCACGGTTATCACTTCGATATTTATTTATTTTTTTTATTTTTTTTTATAAGTACTGTATACAGGTACTCCTTGACTTACGACATACTCGACTTACGACAACCTAGAAATATGACCACCGTGGTCGGGAAAAAAATTCAAATTACGTATTTTCTAGTACCGACGTTAGTGATCGCGCTGTGTACTGATAAAATTTTTCTTTGTAATTCCCTTTAAAATGGCTGGCAAGCATGAAAGTGAGAGTTATCGTGGTGCTGAGAAGAAAAGAGACACCCATTTTAGAATTTCTATGTATTATTTTCGCCTTTTCGACTTACAACCTGGTCGTCGGGAGAGAACCCCGTCGTAAGTAGAGGAGAGACTGTATACATAAATTACAGTAGAATTGAAAAACATAAATATAATGGGGAAGCAGTACAACATGGGTTGTACCGTATTAAGGTCAAACAAGAGGACAGAGCTGTCAGAATTATGTCTAGTTAGCAAATATATTTATTGCAATGGTAATTTCTTATCTATTTATTGTACATGATAATTTCCGGTAAAACGGTACAGCACAGTACAGTATATCCTTGCCAAATTTCACATTACAGTACTTCCTAAAGTTTATTCTCCATTTGTCCTTGTTCTCCTTCTAGCCTTATGTTGGATGCATTAGAAAAAAAATACCATTAATTAGCATATCAAAATTAATAAAATCAACAACAGAGGTACTGTAACCTAATCAGTAGTGATTCAATTTAGGTCGAACATGCGATTTCATATTTCTATTTGCTGTTCAACCAAAAACGAATCTTTACCACAATCATTTACCAAGAATGCTATCCAGTGTGACACTACCAAACATTGCAGCTTTCCTCCTGTACTAACAATGGACAATCAAATCTATAACAAAGTACGGTACATTGTACAGTACTGTATAGTAAAGACAAACCGCCCAAATGGCAAGTAAGCTGTTAAGTGGTGAAATGATAAATTAAGGAAGAAAGTGGCATTCCTCTCTTTAACTTTCACTGAGAGGACAATTTTGTGTTAAATTACAAATAAAATCTGTCAGTTTTCAACAAACAGAAAACACTACAATAAAGTACGTACAGTACTCCACACTAAACTAGAGAGTTTCCGGAATTGGTCTAAAGAACATTAATTTCTAAAACGAACAGTACAGTACCTGTATATTGTACTGGTAGTTAGTGGATCCAGAGTTGGTTGAGTAAAAGAAAAGAAAAACTCAATTTAATCAAATAATGGAAATAATGGAAGCCCCTGGAAATCGAGGATGGCCAGCCCAAGGGCCACCTTGGCGTGAATTTGTTTAAGGCGTGGAAGCTGTCACCAACACAACAACCACACCCTAAGTTAACGAGCTGCATGACCCAGTGTCAAGGAATAGTCCAAGAAGACCGGACAATTCGCCAACTACACTGGCTAACCATTACCCCGGAATACGATCCGCAAATCGATTAACATCCAGGTTCCCAATTACTGCTGGGTAGACAGAGGCAAATGGCATAAAGAAACTTGCCCATAGTTTCACCCTGCCCGAGGATCTAACTCGGGTCCGCTCGCTTGCGAGGCGAGGATGCTGACCATTACACCACAAGTCGACACCAGGCAGGCCATCCCCTCTGCCTTTAGCAAACTAACAATAAATATCATCTCTGAATTCTATTTATTCAGTGGTTTGTTCATCCTCAAATCAGACACAGTTCAGTGATAGTTTTAATTAACTCACGAAAGGCACAGTGGCAACAGCATGTTTGCCTTATCCAGGTGAACTCTTAAGTAATTTTGTCAGTTCCATCACTAATCTCTAACTACCCATATTAGAGTAGCCAAGAATGGTCTACGACCCCAAAAAATGTGATTTTAACAGTGCCCCTGCTGTCAAATTTCACTCAAGAAGTTGTTGTTCATTGTTGGAAAAATTTGATGGAATTTTAACTAAAGAAAATAATATTGCTAAAACCGATTATGATGGCAGACATGAACCAACAAAACCCAATACAGTCAACCCTCGCTTTACGCGGTCCCACATTCCGCGTTTCCACGTTTACGCGGTACCCTGCCGAAACCGGAATGCTCACATTCCGCGGTGCGTGTACCCCTTTACGCGGAGCAGCTGGCGAGCCGCGCCATTTTTGGATCCAAACCTCCCGCCATCCGCCATGTTGTGTAAGCGGCGCAAGCAGGGTGCGCACAAGGTCGCCCAGTCATCAAAACATTACCGAGTTCTTCACCCGCCACCCACCACAGCCGGCCCAAGTCAGTGATAGTGATAATTATAGTGAGGATATGGACTTATATGGACTTTGAGGGGTTTGACAAAGAGGCCCTGCAAGCCTCTGTGGTGGATAGTGATACAATTGATACAAGTGATACAGGTGAGGGCCAATAATCTGCCCTCTGCCTCGGAACCAACCCCCCATCCCCGTGTGCCCAGCCATCTTTTCTACTAATGTAAGTGTTAAAAAACCTAATATTATTGATATTTCTCTTAATTATTAATTGTGTGTGCATACAGTACCATCATAAAATTAAGAAGTTATTTTTACTACAACGTAGGTATTGTGTCTGAAAAAGTGGAGTTTGGGGGTCGACCCGGTCTCTAATTCAATTAATCCCATATGTTATGTTGTTCACTTTACGCGTTTCTCACTTTCCGCGGTACCCTGTGGGTTGAATTAACCGCGTAAAGTGAGGGTTCACTGTACAGTATAACTTAAAGTTAGTCTGAGTTCACCAAGTTAGGCAGGTCAGGTTGGTTCCTGTTACTCAGTAAAGTACAGGGCATGTCAACCAAAAAGTTCAAAGAGGCTTCTGTAAAATGGATAATGCCAGGAATATCTATCCAAGGAAATTATATAATATCCAGAGTACTGTACCTTTGTCAGTTTGGTAGTGATATAAGTTTCTGCAAATTCAGGTATCCCTGACTTACGATTATCAACATTAACGTTAGTTAGGTTTTAACATCCCTTCATGATTTACAATAGACAAATTCTACGTTAATGGTAGCTATCGGGAAGCAAAACTCACTGATGCGGAATGCAAACACTGGACAAGCGCATCTCTCCCATCACTTGTCAAATCCAAGAGGACTGCTATGAGCAGAAATTGCTTTTCCATCCATAGTTCACCTACCGGTAAACTGCAACATTTTCGTGAGTTTTTATTTTCATCAAACTACTTAACTCATTAGAAAATTCTCACCAACCTCATACAGTAGAGTAAGTTTGGGCAAATATATGATAATGCCTGGAATGTAACTTTATGACCTCCATTTTTATGCAAATGATACAAAAAAAAATTATACCTAACCTAACCTTTCTCAATTCGAAATGTTTAAAAATTAAAACTAACCTAACCCAACAATAAGCTAACCTAACAAAACCTAACCTTAAAAATCTTGCTTCTCATTTACTGTCTCCCCTTGTTTAACACAAATTATTGCATGTAATTTAATCATTTCTTAAAAGAAAGCCATTTTTTCTAAAAACCAGTTTTTCTGATATAGTCCAGAATGCGATGCCTAGCTTATACCTCGGTATGTTAATGCCTAGCAATAACTCGCCAGACCAACATGCAAAAGAAATACTGTATTCACAATTGTCATACACATCAACGTATAGGAGACTGGAGACAACTGTAGAAAAACTTGTCGGTAAAGATAAAGGTAAATATTTAGAAGTTGCAAACACCTACTTATAAAGTACATTATTGAGTCATATAGGGAGAGAGAAAAAAACAACTATATATACAGTAATTTATTCTATAGCATTTCCGTTGGATAATTATATTTTTCGAGTATCTTAACCAATAGTTACCAACAATATTACTTGTTTAAAGTGGTCAGGGCATTGAAGTTGAGGAAAAATGTGGGGCAAAATACAAAAAAAAATAAAAAAAATTGAAAACCTGACCAACTTTTCCCAACCTTTAAAAATCCTAAAACTATAAAATGTTATTAAGTTTACCTTATTCATGTTTTCAGTGTTTAGTATGTGACGGTGTTGTTTTCGGTGCTCAGATGAGGAGGATCCACAAACTCAAAAGTGATTCTTAACATTTTTACAAGTTAGGAAACGTTAGGTAAGGCTTTCAAAGGTTAGTCTGGTGTTCTTTTTTAGTATTTTACCCCACATTTTCCCTCTACTTCAAAGCCTTGCCCACTTTGAACAACTATTACTGTGGGTAATTTTATCGGTTAAAATACTAAAAAAATATAAATTTCCAACGGAAACGTTATAGAATAAATTATATTTTAGGTATTTTCTTTCTTCGTAGAAAAGACTCAATCTATAAGTAGGTGTTGGCAACTTCTAAATATTAACAAAGATAAATACTGTAATACAGTCTCACTATCACTGCTGATTGGTTGAAACTTGTAGCGACTAAGATGATTCAATGGGCTGAGAAAAATGTGAAACTACAGTATGTCAATGTTTGCAAGCAAATGTTCATGCATGGTATTTTCTACCAAATCTTTCTATGGAGTCAGTTTTCTAAATAAAAAAGTGCAGCCTACCTATACTGGACTGGACAGCTGCTGTGCCCATGTACACTCCTTTTACATACAATCATTCAATGTGTATATACCAAAATTTTCAACAACCACAGATTAAAGTAAAAATTATCATTAACGACCGATTCATCCCAAAGTTTAGAAAGGCTACGAACCAGCTTAACGGCAGAGTGGTCTAGTCCTAATCTACGGTACGAGTAGCTGTTAATTTACTTCCTATGCATATTATTCAATTAACTAAATGACTAACCACCAATTGTGGTTTAAAAATAACTAAACAAAAATTTTCTCCACAAAATGCTACCTAACCGCAAAAAAAATCGAAAGCCTTTGTTCAAGTAATATGAAGACACCAAGAAATGACAAACTCTTAGGCAAGACAGTCTGAAATAAGCCATAATTTATATAATTAATAGCAGACTATACTACAGTTGGTTAGTAGATAATGTTGCCCTAATACTAACCTTATACAGTATTATATTTTCTCGTTATGTTGTGTCTGCCCAAGGTCAAGTTTAAGGAGACTTGTCAATTATTCTTTACTAAACAAGTTGGTATGGTTCCTCTCATTTATAAGATGGCAGAGGGTCAGTGTAGGAGGGTGTGAGTGGCCCCCAGTGCCTCAGTACTTGTCACTCGCCATCATAATAAAGGTAGTAACGGCAAGAGGTATATCATGAGACATTTCCCCACTGTATAACATACCTCAATAACCATCTACCATCATCACTATCCAAGGTATTGTATGCACGCCTGGTGTATTCCCGGGGTTAGTTCCCTTAAGAATGATCCAGAGGAGCCACAGTAAGGAAGAGAGAGTAATAGAAGCATTTTATAAACAAAACAATCCGCCATCATGGAATTGCGCGCAAGACTTTGGATCGATGGAAACTCGAGTTTAAGCAGGAACCTGACCTCCTAACACCACTACAGACACGGCGCCGTCTCATAACAAACATCCAACGACATACTCACATTTTGGGCTCTAAATATATGAAGTTTTTCCCAAATAAAATCCAGACTGGTGGCTGGTGGCTTCCACACACATAAAACAGCGTGGCAGCACGAAAGCCCTTGTGCGGGCGTCTGTGATTGGATAAACCTACGACGTCACACTTGAGTTTGTTTTGAGGTCTCTGATTGGCTGAGATCCAGTGAGCGGATAAACCGATCGGATTTTGACCCTTTTGTGGAAATTTTACACCAACCCCAGAAATTGTTAACTATCTACTGGTAATATGTAGATGATGTACAGTATTATGTCTCTGGCCAAGTAATGAAGACCTAAAAGCTTTCCTGCCACAACTTAATAACTTAGCCCCCTCGAACAAATTCACTGTAGATTCCCATTCCTAGACTGTCTGATACACAGAATAAGTAACACCTTTAGGTTCAGTATTTATAGAAAACCTATTAATGTGTGTTCATACTGTACATTCATTATTATTCTGCCCACCATAATAGAGTCAAATAGTTAGTATTTTCAACAATGTTTTTACGTGCTTTGAGAATTTGCAGCCAGGAATTCATTGATGAGGAATATAAATATATCTATAATATTGGCTCAAGCCTAAAATACCCTAGATCTTTCATAGACAAATGCCTGAACATTACTAAGAAATCTTTTTATAGAACTGATCCCAAGCCCACCCATGACCATAAGAATCTCTTAGTATTACCATTTCACAAAAATTTCTCTCAAATTCCTTTACAACTAAAAACCTGGAACGTCAATGTGGCATTTAAAAACTCATGCCCTGTTAAACAAATGTTAATCAAGAACTCCCCCAACAACACAATTGGTTGCATTTATAAAGTTCCTTGCAAGGAATGTAATATGTTTTACTTAGGCCAGACAGGTAAAGATCTTGTAACTAGACTTAAACAACATAAATATAGTGTTAGGACAGGCCAGGAATCCAATGCTCTGTTTGTTCATTTGAGGGATAATAAGCATTGCATTGACTGGGATAATGCCTCCTCAATATTACCTTGTAATTCAATTGACAGTAGGAACATTATAGAATCTAGTCTCATTAAACATACCGAAGCAGTCAACATGAATTTGAGTAATGGCATGTACAAACTGGACAGTTTTGTAATTAAGAAGATTTGTAACCAGGTGAGAAGGTTGGGTCACCTTACCCTCTGACCTGACTACCGACCGTTGCGGTGCTTTTTAAAGATTAGTAGGGTCATTACCTAATACCTGACCATTGTGGACCTGATCTCACCCTCCTCTGTATATATACACCTTGTTTTGTACTTCTTAGTTTGTACTCACCCCTGAAGATGTGAATTACACGAAAGCGCTTGGGAACTTCGTGTTTTCTTCTTTCCTTGTGGTTATCAGCACACACACACACACATATATATATATATATATATATATATATATATATATATATATATATATATATATATATATATATATATATATATATATATATAGTTAAGTAAAGATCACCAGCTGCAACATCGATTTATCTTAATTATATTTCAATCCCAGTTAACCATAACAATGACTGATGGTAGAGTAACAGGTGACTCTTGAAACATAAAATACCAACACAAAATAAATAAATAAATAAAAATATAGTAAACACGCAATCTGCCGGAATATTGTGACGGCACTGAATGTGAGCTCTTTCAGGATCCCTAGACCAACACTGGAGCAGGTACAAATTCTTGAAATACATTCTGTAGCCAGTATATGCCCGGTAATTGCCATCAGTGCGTAAAAGAGATGTGACCGACTGCCCAAATGGGATAACAATGCGATCAGTGGCAAAGAGGATAATAGTAAAAGTATCGAAGTACTGGTGGCCGTTAGGCAGGTAAATAGAATAAGGTTAAATCCATCTACACACCGAAAACATCTTTAAAATAACTAAATTTCTGCATAAAATTAACAAAAACTTAATATACTAATTACTCTTGGTGAAAAGGGACTGCACCAGCTAAAAGAATTCCTGACAAAAGTTATTTAATGTAATCACATTATAACTTCACTGAAATGGTATTTTTTCCACAATGTAGCATTGATTATCTATTACACTGGTCAACAGCCAAAATGGTTCACATATGAGATCATGCTCACACAACTAATTTCATATTGCTGAATTCGAATCTGATATTTGTTTTGTTCTATCAGACCAGGTTTTATAAAAAAATCAATAGGTACAAATATTTAATATTCCATCACGTGTCGTGCAAAAGATGAGATTATCTCATGTGACTGTGCTTTCATGACTAATTTCATATTAATGAATATTAATTGGATGTTTCATTCTACCATCAGACCTACTTTCTTAAAGAATAAAAAAAATAGTAAATATAGTAACATTATCGCGTCATGCAAGATACAATTTTAAACCTATCACAGATAAGCTCATAAAAAATTGTACCAAAAAACATAAGTTCAAATCCTTTATAATGACAAAATATGAAGTTCTAAAAGTGCTTCTGAACTTTACTCTTTCTCTTGTACAGCTTGCTCTCTTCTCGTTGCAGTGTCCAGCAATAGTCGCCCATCATGTTAGGACTGAATTGTCCCTGATATCTGCTCTCCATTTTGGCGATATCTTGATGAAATCTTTCGCCGTGTTCATCACTAACGTCTCCAAGGTTACCTGGGAAAAATTCAATATGAGAGTGGAAAAAATGCAATTTCAGGGACATCCTTGCTCCCAATGCATGATAATTCTGAAGCATGGTTGTTACGATTTCTTTGTAGTTGTCAGGACGATAGTTTCCAAGAAAATTCTTTGACACATTGACAAATGATTCCCATGCTTTTTTCTCCAGTGGGTTCAATGTTTTGGTGAATTCGCTATCATTAACTAGTATACGAATTTGTGGTCCATTCAGACAGCTGTCTATGTCGGTAACGCTCTGTAGTGATATGTACTCCATCTTCCAGCAGGTTACGCTGCTTTAGTCTGGATCCCAAAACTTCAGCCTTTTCTTTTGACAAGTTTAGGTCCCTGATGAGATCATGAAGCGCTTCTTGAGTAAATAGTTTAGGCCTGGTATTTTCAGAGTCATCCTGGTAGTCGTTTTCCATTGAGGTAGAGGTAGAATCGGAATCACTCAATTCTTGTTCAGTCGGTGGATTTGGGACTGGAAGTTCAGCACTGTGCGGTACTGGTCGGATTGCAGAAGCAATATTGGGGTACTGTACCTTGCCTCGTGTCTTGATTTTTATTCCCTTAATATTTGTGAGACAGAAGTAGCAGTCACTACTGTGGTCTTTAGGTTCACGCCATATCATTGGTACAGCAAACGGCATTCCTGAACTTCGTTTACCACACATCCACTCGCTCAGGTGGTTAACACAAGACTTACAGGCTACATGAGGTGCCCATTTCTTGTCTTGGTCACCCAAATGACATTTGAAGTAACTTTTGTAGTTCAGTCGAACAGCTTTTGTGATTGGTTTCTTGAGGCTACCAGGAGTGAAGGCACCACATATGTAGCAAAAACTGTCAGCACCGTTCACACACTTGCGACGTTCCATGTTTTGTTAATTTCAGAGTAATTACAAATCATGCAGGTGTAGATATGCAATATCATGAATCAGCAAACTGAAACAAACAAAAAAGCACAAATCAGGACAAAATAATTGCATAAGTGGAGCCAATGAGCATATAAATTACTGTATGAATAGCATGGTACACTAAATATATAGATATGCTGGTTCTGGAAAACTGAGCCTGATACAGCTATACGAATGTCATAATTGAGTTCAGCGCATACAATTACACTAGAATCAGACTGTTTTGATCCAGTACCATGAGAATTTTTTTTTATGTTGACCAGTGTTATCTATGGAAAATAAAAACGTCTATTTACAGCACTGTGGAGGCGGGATATTATGCTATCAGTCTAGTACCAGAGCATCAAATTAGATTGTAGGGTTTCGTGATATTATGTTGTCTAGCACTCAGGATGGATGGATGGAAACTCTAGGTTTTCTTTTATAAAATATATTATATACAAGACAGTCTGGTGCTGGAGATGCCGTGAGGTGAGAAGCTTGCCCAAGAGACACGTTCAGTGAGTAGCGTGCTTGAAGAGGTATCTGCAGGAGCTTCGTTAGAGGAGATGTTGCGTGTTCAGGAACGTAGGGTAGAATGAATCTCAATGTACTTGTATTGGGGATTACTGGCCACTTCGCCGTTGGGCTATTTCGGCCGGAGCTGATGTCTTCTTTCTTCTTCTTGAGGTTTCTTCTTCTAGCCTTGGTCTTCTTTCTTGCTACAACTTATCTGATGTTCTTGTTTCTTCTTTTCTTGTTATTCTTGTTCTTGGTATTTTGGTTTCTTCTTTCTTGTTGTTATTTTATTTGGGATGAATTATGGTATGAGTGAGTGATATGATAGTGAGTTACTGACAGACCAGATGAGATGGCCGGTCAGGTGACTAGTTTCTCTGTGGTTTGATTTTTTTTTTGTAGCCCGTGTCTTTTTGTTTGAATATGTGTTGGTAGGTGTCAGTTTTACTTGGTATATGTGCGTGTTGTATGTAATGGAAAAGTTTGTGATATGTCTCTCATGTATGTTTTAATTTTTGTTTTATTCATTTTTATTTTCTTTAGGGCATGGTTACATAAATATTATAAAAAGAGTTCATGCGTGTGTCTTTCACAACATGCCGATAAGACGGGTCTCCTTGAGGAAGATTATTACAGCGTCACTTATGGTGACATCATCTTGCAACATATTGGGTACAGTCAGCACGAAGCCTCGCTTGGCAGCTAGCATCACCAGCTGCCGGCGTTCTGGTTCGTACTGGCTGCACTCCGTCAGAATGTGTCGAATGGAAAGAATTTTGTTGCACGTGGCACAGATAGGTGGAAAGGAGTTGTCTAAATAAGCTTTTAGGTGGGTCAAATAGGTACAATTTAACCTTAGTCTGGCGAGAACCACCTCTTCCCTCCTATTCTTTCGGTATGCTGAAAGCCAGTTTCCTATGTTAGTCTCCCAGTTGTTGCGAAGATCTAACCTCGTCCAATCAAGTTGCCACTTCCCTGTTGTATATGTCTTCCCCAAGGAGAGACACGACTGACGCTCCCAGGGTACATTGATTGTCTCCCTGAGACCCACAGTCGCTTTTGCTAGTTTGTCTGCCTGTTCATTGCCCCGAATGTTGCAATGCCCAGGCACCCATATCAGCACAATATTCTTGGCACACTCATGTAGTTTATTAATAATGTTGCCCTGTATCTCATTGCTGGTAGTGTCACCACCTTGAATTGCTTTAAGAGCTGACATAGAATCTGAAATGATAGCAACATCATTGACATCGCTTGTTATTGCAATGTCAATGGCTCTACTCCAGATGG